AGACAGCGGACTGAGCCTGCCTTTGGGGGCACAAACTCCCCAGGCTCCGCCAATCAGAGCATTCGGCTTCAGCGATTGGCTTCGGGTTGGCCACGTGCCCCGAGCCCAGCCAATCAGTGCTCCTCAGAGCGCGGCCCAGGAGATGGCCCTGAGTGTTGGCCGCCAGGCTTTCGCTCTTCTCCTGCTGGAGGCGAGGCTCTGTTGGTGTCAGCCCAGCACTGCCCGGGGCCACCCTGGGGACAAGCCTCGGGCGCGGTGACTCTAACCGGGTGCAACACGCAGAGGAAAGCGGAAGGGGAAGCCAGCTTCCGTGCTGACATCGTTTGCTCCGTGCACAGTCTACAGCCCCGCAGCGCTGACCTAACTCAGGCCCTCTAAAGTCACCCAAGTCAGGCCTCCGGAATGAGACTCTGCGCGTGAGCACCATCTCCGGGGGATCTCAACACGCATTAGCTCGAGACCACTTTTCTAGACGGTTCGGTTCCACGAACCCCGTGGGCGTCGGGCTGGGGCTGGTCTGTGTCACTGAAGAGCTCTGGCTGATCTGTTTCCGGGAACCCATCGTGCAGTTCAGCCAAGTGGGGCTCTTGCCCACAAGCTCTTAGCAAGGCAGGCTGATAGCAGCAATAGGAGAGTAATGGCTTTGGTGCTTCCCAGTCTCCAGCTCTGGCTGCACCGTGGAACCACCCACGGGTGCCTGCCTCCCACCCCCGGGGGTCCTCACTGAAATTGTCAGGTTGGGGCCCCAACAATCATTTCTAAGGCCTCCTAGGTGATTCACAGGTGCAGCCAGAGTTGAGACACCACTCTTTCAGTTCTGCTGTGGTAGGGATTGGTACGTGTTTTCCAGAAAGGGCCGTCAGTGCACACTTAAGCCGTGGTGGACCACTCCTCACCTGCCACGGCTGCTCGTTCTTCCTGTGGCCAACCAAAGTGGCCACAGACCACGCAGAGCTGGATGGGCGTGGCTGCGTGCCCCTAAAACTTGACTTAGAGAAATAAGCAGAGGCTGGGTGTGGTCCTGAGATCGTACTTTGCTGCGTCCTGTCCACAGAGTGACTTCGTTATTTGCATAAAAGGCATTTCAGCTCCTTGCATGCCAGGTTATCAGGAGGGGCCGTGTGTCCGTTTGCTGTCCGGTGTCCATTCTCAAGTTTTCTAACGAAACAATACTGAAAACTCTGCTCTCAAACTCACGTGGTTTGTGCGGCTGACCCATGTCTTGGTTTGGGCTTTCCTGGAAAGATTCCACTGCAAGTGGTTTATTGTGAGGTGCAGGCAACATTGGTCAGGGAGTGGGGAAGTGGGAGAAGGCACACGGGACCACGGCGGGCATTACCCGGCAAGGGACCACGGGCTGTGATTGCAGCCTAGTTGCACTGGGCCAGGCGGAGGCAGCACTGTGGAGCTCCTGCCCCACAGTCAACCCCCAGGCGGGCCCAGGGAGCTGGACTCAGTCTGCCCGCTCCCGGGAGCTGCAGTGCGGAGAGCTTCCTGGATGGGGGTATGCTGATCCCTCAGTGCCTGTGCCCTGCTGCACAGGTGGGAAGGACGGCTTTGGGCGCCAGGCAGAACTCTCAGGCGAAAATGAGCTGGTGCTTGAGATGGAAGGCGAGGCGAGAGCAGGGCAGGCGACCCACAGCGTCTGTTCCAACCCGTGCAGACTCGGGGGGTGTAAGCCCCTGTCACGGGGGCTGCTTCAGGGAGACAGCATGACCCCAGGGGAGTCGTCGTGGCAGTGAAACCTTTGTCGGGGTTTCTGGAAATGAGCCAGGTGCCCTTCCTGGGCTCGAGGCTTGAACCGTTTGGCAGGAGTATCAGCTGCCACCATGAGTAGATGCAGAGGGAAGCCAAGAGGCAGAATAAAACAGTCCTGCAGACGGAGCTGAGTCCTGATCTGGCAGATGGGAGGCCAGGACGGATCCTGGACTCGGAGTCGCACAAGCCAGAAGATTCTCGCTGTGCTTACGCCAACTGGGTGGTGTTTCGTCACATGGAACCCAAAGAATCCTAATTGATACATTTCCCAGCTTGGTATCAGTGAAGCCTGCTTATGCCAAAGCTGAACAGAAATTAGTTTTACAATTTCTGTGCCAGGCTCCATGTGAGGGAGGGTGAATTCTGGCAAAGACACTTGTAGCTGAACGTCAAAGGACTCTCCACGCACCTCTGAAACGCCGTCCTCTTGGACCTCCTGGCAGGGCGTCTCCGTGGGGCGGTGCTGAGCGCAGCAGGTGCAGGTGAGCGACCACAGAGCAAAACTGCCGTGTGGCTTCTCACAATCCTCTCTCCCTTGCTCGTTCCCAGCGGCCACAGGGTCGAGCCAGAAGTCACGGCTGGGTCTGTGTGTACTGTGTCCATGCCATGGTCCGTGTGGGTCAAGGCCATGTTGATGCACCACGCAGTGAGGCGTAGACCGTGGTGCTTACCCAGCCCTTCCCCTGCACCTTCTGGAGATCTGACGGGGCCATGGGACTCCTTAGGACTAACAGCGTGTGTGTGGTGGGGAGAGAGTCACATGTCATTTCCAGGCCATTGCTTGGAAAAGCATGTGACTCTCCAACCGCCCCTTCCTCTGTCACGGAGACCACGAAGGCCACGTATTCCTGATGTTATAGCTGTAAGACGGTGAAGGGCCCATCCGTCGAGGCCCCCAGGACCCCGCATGGAGCAGAGCCCCCTACCACTTCGGCTGTGCAACGTTAGCCAGAATCACTGGGGTTGTGTGCAGCACTGAACCTCTGCTGTCGTTTGCTGTGACCGCCCTGCCTGGCTCCTCTGCTGAATATGCAAAGTGGCCTCACGTCTCCTTCTAACAGGGAACAGAAGGCCAGACAGGACTGGGGCAACTAGAGGCGAAGGAAGTCTGTAACAAACTGGAATGCAGTTAGAATGAGGGTTGTGAGGGAAGCAGGAAGTGTAACCGAGGTTCAGAAATGATACAGTGACTCCCCGAGGCACCGGCACCGGCGTCCTGGGCCAGAAGGAAGCCCTCAGGGGCGCCGTTGGGCCCACACGGGTCTTACCGTGGCCAGGGGAACGATACCAGCCAGGTCCTTCTGGCTGATGAAGATCTCGGACACGGCGCTGTCCGTGGTCGCTCTCCGTGGATATTCCACCTGCCAGGCGATGGGCTGTGTCCCCGAGAGGCTGCTGAAGCTGGCTATTTCGAAGTTCATCTGCACGACCTCACTGAACAAGCTGCTGCTTCTGCAAAAGGAGCAAAGGAGAATGGCTTTGAGCCGACTTTGTCCCGTGGAAGGGTCCTTCTCTCCCTCTGCCCCTGCCCCCGTCACAGCTGCACCTAGAGTCTAAGGAAAAAGCCAGCACCTTTCCAGGGCAGCCCCTGGGCGGGGCGCCACCCCCACATTAGGGCTGTGGATGGCTGGGACGGAGCAGCACCCACAGCGGGAGGAGCTGAGAGAGTCTGAGCACAGGGTGTTGACCGGTGTCTTACGACTCCTCCGACCACCGGGAACCCGTCGGCCCCACCCCTGCAGGATGAGCCTGGAGGACCTGGGACCTAAATGGACTCCTTTTCAGCTCAGTTCCACGGTGTGCCCGGCACTGCAGGTCCAGCGTTTCCTCTGGTTCTAGAGAGGCAGAGAAGCACAGAGGGGCCCTCGGTGCTCCCCTGCAGCTGGATGCAGCCCCGAAGTGGGTCAGACCCCTCCTCGGGGACGCAGACCGGGAAGCCCATGAGGACGCGGCCGCTGCAGGGGGTCCGGGCAGGTGTGGGCTCCTGGCTCTTCTGGGGCAGCAGTGGGGGCAGTTCGCGCTCATGGGCCCTCGGGCCCCGGTGCCGGGGGACGGGACGAGTGTTTCTGTGCGGGAGCCCCGCAGAGCCGGCAGGTGTCCTGCCTCCTTTACCCCCAGACGCCTCGTCCCCGGCTCGTGTCAGTGGCTCTCCTGGAGACGGTGTGAACTGCCTCGCATCCTCTAGCACACCCCCTTCTGTTTCGAGGGAGGGGCTCGTTGGCTAATGGGACTCTCCAGTGCCCAATGAAGCCTTCCAATCAATACCCTAAATCTGAGGGGACCCCACATAGCTGTATTTTGAGCAAGCTTGCCCCAGTGATCCTGACGCTTTTGGAACTAGCGAAGGTCTAAGCTTCTCATTTTTCAGACAATGAAATTAAGGCCCAGAAAGGGGAAAGGTTTGCTTACCACCACACAGAGCCACATGGAAGGTGGCATCTCCGGACCCCCTGTCCCGTGTCCTCCTCCACGGCAGCTGGGGGTCAAGTGAGGAATCACAGGACACCGAGCGAGTGGCTCCTGTGCAGGGGGCAGCAAACAGAGGCCTGGGGGCCGAATGCAGCCTGCTGCCCATTCTCATAAATCATTTCATTGGAACACGGCCCCATGTGTGCGTTTACGTTTGTCTCTGGGGCTTTTGTGCCGCAAGAGCATGGTTGGGCAAGGGCACTAGGTAGTGGATGGCCGGCGGCACCCCAAGTCTTTATCTATACCTTCATGGAAAAAGTTTGCCGGCCCTCATTTTAGAAGGTCAGGAAAGGGGAATTTGGAGAGGTTCCTGGAGCTGTTGAACCGATAAAGTTGTTACTGGTGGAAATGAGAAGGAAGGGCTTTCCGGGCACGCAGTGGGGTCTGTAGGGTGGGCAGGATTCTGAGGAGCTGGGCACTGCAAGGGGGTGATGGCAGGTCACAGCATGTCTAGCTGCATCTGCTGGGAAGGCTACATGGCTCCAGGTGAACTGAGGGGAATTTTCCATAGCATGTCAAGAAGGAAACAAGTATGCTTCAAAACGGCATCCCCACCATGTGCGGGTCCCGCTCTGAAGGCTGCTGGAGAAGCCCTTCCCTTTGCTGGGGCCATAAGGACACACCCACCCAGTCTTTGGGGGGGCTTGCTCAGCAGCCAGAATGCTACTTCTCCACCTTATCACCCTCAGCCCTGCTCTGTGGCTGGGGCAGGGGGAGACAGGGAGCTCGCCACACTTCCCAAAGCCCTGGGACTTATGAAATCTACCTCATGCTCTCTGGGCCAGCAGTGGGGCCCAGAAAATCATGATTTATGAGATGCTGGATATCCCTCTGGGAGGGAACATCAATCCAGCATTTGGTGCATCAATCCATGAGCTGTGCAATCTCAAGAATGAATGACTTGCCTTGGAAAATGAGGGAGAAGTGTTTGGAGTCTGGAGCATTTCCAAACTAAGAGCCTCGTACTTGGTCTAGCAGCTGAGGCCTGCAGGGATCTGAGCCTCCAGAAATCCTTCCCACCGGCTCTGGCCCAGTCTCTCTCTTCCCTGGGTGACAGGCATGCCTTTATTGGGGGGGGGGCTGTTAATCTTGTTCTTTTAGCAAGAACACTCACCTTGGCGTCTCCTTGTCCACAGCAGAGCTGGGCACAGGTTGAGACATCAAGGTTGTTCAGTGGACTCTGCTCTGCAGACTTCCTTAATGATGGATGAGGCACAAGTCCAGCTATCCCAAGACCCATCATGGCCCCACTGGGATACACCTGAGTTGGCAACACGCCTCAGCCTACACCCATCTTCATTTTGTTATAAAACTCTTTTTTGAACATCGCACCAGCTGACACCAGCTTCTGAGACTGAGTTTTGTCATCTGGACAATTGAAATGATGGGATTCCTATTGTCCAGGGAAGAGACGGGCATGCAGAAGGGGCCGGCATGACTTACACCCTGGCTGTGTCCTCCTCCATTGCACTTATGGGAACAGAGGGTGCAGTGTTGGACAGGAGGAAGGAGAAGTGGTTGCTGTTCTGACTTCGAAAGCTATTATGTTATATGATTTTTGTGAACAATGGGTCACCTTCCTAGGGTGTTCTGCTCAAGGCAATGTAAAAATAAGGACAACAAGCCCTTGTATATGAAATGTTCCCTGTGCACCAGGCACTGGACCAGGTCCCATGCATCCGTTATTTCAAATCCCAATAAAAACCCTTTTGGAAGTAATTATGGTTCTTATTTTGCACAAGTATCAAAGTAGAGACTTTCTTGTGTTCCTGCACCCAGGGTCGGTGTTTGCACTACTTGGTCCTCAACCATGGACGGAAGGCGATGACCAGGCAGGTGTGCGTTGGAAAGCCCCCTCCTCCCCTTACTACCACGTGTGAGTCAACTAAACTGACTCATGGTTTCAAGATAGAAAACATTTCAAAAGTCACAATTTTGGGGGAGGGGAACTCCAGCTTTCGACGGAGCTGGCAGAGTCCTGGGTCAGAGGGACACCAGGGTGGCACTGGGGGCAGACGTCTGACCCCCTCTTGCAGGAGGCTTCAGACCTCAGACCAGGAGGCAAAGAAGCTGTTCTGCGTCCGCGGTGACCACGGGAACGTGTGTGAGAGGGAGGCCAGGCAAGACCAGCCCAACGGCAAGATGAATCCCAGGGAGGCCCCGGATGAAACATTCTGACTCAAGACAAGGAATTCCTTTGGGAAGAAAGAGAATCAGCTCCCTCGTTAGTTCACTTCTGTGCAGTCCTGCCTCTTCCTACTCTCCCTCACCCACACGGCTTTCAACCATCTCATCTCCAAACACTGCATAATGGGATATATCCAAATTAAAATGAATTGAGCCACATTTTGAAAGGAGACTTCAGGGGTGCTAAGGGTGGCTGTGGTCGCCGGCCCTGTCTGGAATGGGTACATTGCCACGTCACTCCCACCAACGGCTGCCGTGTGGATCATGACAGATTGTTTTTTTCTGGAGTTTCTCTATAAAATCTCTGGATTTTAAAATTTAATAAGCTTAACCTTGTAGCCATGATGTGGCTCAAGCCGCTGGCTGTCAGTTTGCTCTCTCTGGCTGCGGAAAGGGGTGCTCCTGTATTCTGAAGGCAGCATTTCATACAAGAGCCACACGTGGAGGTGGCAGATGCTGGCCCCAAAGATGATGCAATGGGATGACTTTCAAACTGCGATGCCAGGACCCTTAGCATACCGAGGTGGTGACAGGGGTGGCCATGGGACTGGAGGTGGCCCTTAATGTCATCCCCTTGTGCCCTTTACTTCTGCAGCAGGAAAAGCAGCTCCAGCCTGACATGTTGTAATGCTGGGCCTCTAGGAAGTATCGGTTTAAAAGATGAAGGAAGAAATAGGAGGAGGGAAAAGGTGCGAAGGAATGAAGTGAGAGACAGAGGGAGGAAGGAGGGAACTAGGGGGTTAGAACCAAGACTATAATGTGGGAGTCTGCCAAGGAAACACAGCACGTGGTATGATCACGTTGTGCGCTTCCAAACAGACTTCCTGAGTTCAAATCCTGGCTTCACTAGCTGGGTACCGATGCACAACTCAGCCTCCTTTTCTCTGTTTGCAAACTTGGGATGCTGCTCCTTCCCATTTCATAGAGTTGATAGGAGGATTAGCAAATGAGTGAATAAGTGTCACGCATTTAGAACAGTTTCAAAATAGCAAATATCAATAAATGTTAGCTGTTCTCGTTTTCAGCAGGACTTGAAGCTACGCTTGTTCTCAGTGACTCGATGTCTGATTGCCTGAAGTCACCTTTACAACATGCCCCCTAGGTCTGGTCCAGGAGCTCCCTGAGAACAAGTCACAGTAGAGAAGCTCTTGCCCACCATTCATGGCAAACTGGGATTCACTCAGACTTGCATTTATTCAGTAGCTGTCCCTGTCAGACACGGCACCACGTTACACCACATTTCTCTGGAATATGGAGACCAAGAAAGGAAGAAATTTGTCTGCAGTTCTGTCTGTGGTCAGTGCCCTCCTGCTGTGTCTGAGCTGACAGAAATCTTTGCTAAGCTTTGTCTTGAAGGGACTAAGAGCCCTCCATGCCCGCCCATCTGGGGATTGTGATACTGTTTACTTTATTAAAAGAGAAGAATTTAAACACTTAAGTGACTCCAGAGAGTGCCCAAGAACCACCACTTGGTAAATCAATAGTGTAGATTTATTGCAGTAACTCTTGAAAGAAATTTTTGAAATTGGCTTAAAAAAAGCTCTTAACTCAAAAACAAATAAATTCCCCCAATAGTCATAATAAAGTTTGGACTACTGGAAACCCAATTTATCAAACCTTTTAGCTATTGAATTCTATCTTGTAAGAAAATGGAGTCTGGGGGGCGGGGTGTGAAGAAGCCAGTAGGGCTTTACCTCTCCACTATGGGGTGTACGGGACTTTATCAGCCACTGTTGACAGCATAATGCCTACAGAAAGAAATGAGGCTAACAAAATGAAGAAATCAACCTTATAAT